GGGGGGGGGGGGGGGGGGGTATAGTCAAAGTAGTATGGATAAACTCCAGTGGAGTCGCTGAGTGCAACGAGAAAAATAAATTTAAAAAGTCGAAAAAAAAATTTCATCGTTGATAGTTTTTTCCATCAATTTTTACTTTGATGAGTGTAAGAAAGTGACCCATTCTTTCTTCAATTGTTTTTTAAAATAATAGTCTCTCGTTTTCCCAGGGTTTTTCGGCATAACACGCCAGTTCGAGCACGCAGAAACATGAATTATTTATTACAAAAGTTTGACACTGGGGATAGGTTTCATATTGGGGATAGAATTATTTTTTGAATGGGTTTTTTTGACCGTTGTAATTATTTTCAAATTTCAGATGGCAACTGGTTGGCCTAAGCGGTCTTCAGCAATTTTATAAACGTAGAAATGAGTTGAAGTTGAAGAATTCTTTGCGATTTTTTTCTATTTTTTGAGGTTTTTCTCGATTTTAGGGATCTCAAAATATTTTTTCCAGTTTGGTACAGATCACACTTTAGATTCAATCATTTTCAATTATCAAATTTGTCAATTAAATTACGTGAGAAAAATTTGAATAAAATTATGAATGTTCAGCGTCATTAAAATTACATTTTGCACAGATTATATCTTTAAACATTCAGTGTTTATGAATAAATAATTGGAGTTACTTAAACTTTCAGAAATCTCATTTTTTAGACATGAAGTCGATTTCTGCTAAAATTCTGAATATGAATACATTTGTTACGATTTCGAACAGGTGATTTTTATGGCTGAAAATTGATTGTTTGTAAATTATTTATAGAAAATGCTCGTAATTTTCAAAAAATGCACTTTTATACTTTCAACTTTATCATTTTTTTCTGATTTTCTGAATGTTTTATAACGGTTCAATATCGAAATTCAAATTGTCACCTGCAAAATTTAAATAATAAAATCATTGTAAAATGTCCCGAAACTTAGAATCAAATGGGGCTCGAATAAAAGCTCTGATATTCGACTACAAAACTAGAAATGCATTTCACTGGAGAAAAAATAGCCAAAGTACTTGGATATATCCTTAATCTTCTCCCTAACCTCGAAAGTTCGTTTTCTCCTAAGACTGTGTTACTTTTGTACTTCTAAATTAATAATTATCAATAATACTAGACTAAACAATTGAACACAAACTCAACCAGAATCTTTCTATTCATATTAACTTTCGTTGAGAATTTATTTCAGATTTTAATTTTCAACATTCTAGTTACGTTCATACTGTTTTAATGTAGTTGTTAAGACGATGTTATTGATTTTTTTAGGAGGAATTGAGAGCCGGCTTGGAGGAGTTGAGGTGCTCTCTACTAGTGAATGAATAAATAAATTCATTTTTCGTTTTTTGGATTGAAAATAGAAATGTGTGAGCAACTAATGCTTTGACGGCATTCTCCAGTTTTTTGGGAAGAGATGGACGTTTTTTTATTTTCATTCAGGGCGGCGAGGAGGGGAGAGTTTAGATGTTTTACCCGGATGAATGAACGCAGGGAACATTTGTGTCTTGCAGTTTGAGGAAAAATAGCAGAAATGTTCAAGAGGTAAATATTCCGATGGAATTTTTTGGATCTTGTCATAAGGAGATGATTAATTTTCATTATTCATCTGGAGTAGGGTGGATAGTTGAAGTATTTCCGCCCCGCGGATAATTAATTTTTAGCTCTTTAGATAGTCAACACTCATCTTTACTTAGAGTGGTGGTGGGTATTTGGCGACAGTTGAGCTGTTCCGTTCTATTGAATTTGATTTTTCTATACAAAACTCCTGTTGAGGAGATGTTTTCTATTTTTTTTTATAGTAAATTGCTCCGCCTAAAATTTTTGGAATCTTCTCAATGGAATGAGAAGAATTTACCAAATGTATGCTGTGGAATTTCTATAGAAAATGTCTCAATAGAATAAGCACAGTTGAGAGAAAAATCTGATTGTATCAATTTTTTCTATAAAATCGTTTCTACTACACATTTTCTAGTATAAAAAAAATGCGCGGAAGAGTTGCAAAATTTTGAATAGAATCGGCGAAAAAATGATAGAATTAACTAGACTAATAGAAAGCCAGTAGAATTTTCTACCGAATGCACGACCTTTTTCTGCAAAATTGTTTCATGCATATTTTGCACAACTGAATGAACAGAAATAATTTTTTCGTTCTGTAGATTGAGGAAAAACTCAATGAATGTTCGAGATATAAATGTTTGAATGGAATTTGTAAGACTTTGTTTATGAAGAGATGATCATTTTTATTTCTAGCTGGGACGGCGAGGAGTTGGGGCAGGATGAGATATTTTTTATCTCGACACATGAGCACAAGAATGAATTATTCGTTCTTCCAATTGACGAGGGATTTGCGACACATGTTTGAGAAATAAAAATGAGAATAATATTGTTACCTACCGTTTATGAGGAAATGATTTTTTTTATGTTGGAAAGAGGGGGGGGGGTAATAGGAGGTTTGAGGAAGTTGAGGAATAGCATCCCGATGAATAAACAGAGGAATGATTTATTCATTTTGTAATTTGAGGAAAAAACTTCCTAATTTGAAGGTTGAAACGATTTTTTTCTCAACTGTTCCCACGCGAAAATAATTGTTTCATTTTCAATAGTAGTGGCTGGCCTTGAATCACGTAGAGTTGTTTTCCACCAGTGAATGAACAGTGGAATAAATTATTCACTCTTTAATTAGAGGAAAAGTTGTATAAATAGTGTAATGGAGAATGATGCACTCAGTGAAATTTCTGAAGTTATTTCTGTGAAGAAATTATCGGTTAATTCAGTGAGAGATTTGCAATTTCATATTTGGGTCAAAAAAACTATTAAATGAGAAACAAAAGTACATTCTAGTGAGGTCATTGCTCACCTTCCTGTGATTTCAACCTATCCAATCGAATAACTCAAATGAAATAACGGTGAGTTATTCATTTGAGCAAGTACTCAAGTACTCACGTTTAAGGTACACCACAACACAATCGGACCCAAAAGTTAGTTCTTATGGATTTCCGGGAAGAATTCTAAATGACTTAATTTATTGCATTCTCATAAGTTATTGAGTTTTTCTACTCTTATGTTTTGTGGATGCAGGCAACAATAATTGTTTAAATCAAATACAAAATTATTTGTTAATTAATTTCTTGAATGAAATAAGGAATGCTTTCACGACGTTTCCATTTTTTAGAATTGAATATCGCAGAAACGATGTAACACCAAATTTTACAAAAAATTCACCGCATTCAAAATTTATCAATCTATCATGGATTTGTTTTTTAAGAACATTGCAAAAACCGTTTTCTCATAAGATGAAAAAATCGCGTTCGGGGGGGGGGGACCCATAACCCCCGTTTGACCTATGCCTCGCGTGTTAGAAGCGCACATTTCATTATTTATCATCTCGTAAACTGTGTAGAACAGGTAGTTAGGGTTTCGTTCAATAGTTGGGGGCTATTATAAACATTATCTATGAAAAACATGGGGACAATCTTAAGAAAAATGTGTCTTCTAGGGGTATACCTTAATATGATGAATAATTCTTTGTTCTAGCGCCTAAAGCTTTCCCTCATTATGAAAAGGCCCTAGCAATTTTGAATCATTTAATTTTATATTTCACTTCAACTTCATTGAAAATGTAAACGAAAAACTACCGGATATTCTGATGAACTCCAAATCATACAAGACCTCACGAAATATCAAACAAAATAATGATAACAAATAAATGGTCTCAAAATGTTGGATTTTTTTTCAAGAAGCAATGAAATAATGGAAAGCAATGACATTTGAAGGGCTGATTCATTTCCCAACCAATGTCCGAATATCCGTGAAGAATTCTCATGAAAGTCCAATAGCTTGGTGACATGGAAAATAATGGTTTCTTAGAAGGTCTTGGGTATTTCCTTTGGAAAGGTCAATATAACAATATTTCACGGCCCTTCTCCCTACCAGGCAAATTCTCCAGAAATTCAATTACCTGAATTATCCTCAGTGCAATTTTCTCACAATTTCGTTCGAAATAAATAACAAAACATTGTAAAGGAATTTATTCCTTCATAAACACCAGGATGTCTTGTATGCCCCCGTAAAAT